ATTTGCCTCCACCCCACCCCCCGTAGCCCCAGACCTTCACCACCCTATTGTCTGTGTGCAGGGATCATTTATATATGCTTACGACCACTGGCCTATGCCATCAGCAAGTGATTCTGAGCCTCCCTAGACGCCAGGTGTGGGAAGGTCACAATGCAGGCGACATCTCTAGCCTTGAGGACTGTTTACCAAATAAAACAGCAGGGGAGCCTGGATGGATGAGTGTTCAGGGTCTTTCCCAGGGTGCGGAGAGGGGCTCTTCTGAAGGACAGCACTTGGCTTTCATGTTATAAAGAGCAGAGAGCCCTGGCCGATGTGGCTCAGCTGGCTGAGCGCTGTCCCGTGCACTGAGAGTCCCCCAGTTTGAGTCCCAGTCAGTCCACATGCCTGGTTTGTGGCCTCGATCCCTAGTAGGGGGTGTACAGGTAGCAGCTGATCCATGTTTCTTTCTCGTCAATATTTCTATCTCTCTCCCTCTCCCTTCCTTAATCTCTAAATTCATTTATCTCCCCCCCTTTCCGCACCACATTTAAAAATAGAAAAGAGAGACCCAAAATCACTCAGTAACAGGGAGATGGAGGCCCCGAGACTACCTGAGACTAAAAGGGACTTGTCCAAGGTCCTGAGCCAGCTAGGGCGACCGGGACCAGATGTGACACCAGGGCCTTGGCAGCTGGACCGGCCTGAGTGTGCTCAGCCCACCATGGACCCGTCACCTGCACGGGCCTCTCCGCCTACCCCGGCCAACCACCCGGTGCAGGGAGGCCTCCAGGTGCAAGCACCCAGACTCTGAGACCCAGGGCCTGTCCCCTCACCCGCCAGTGAAACAGGGAGCCCCGAAGCCTGAGGTGGGGCTTATCCAGAGAAAGGCCTGTGCATGTTCCAGGAGCCCTGAGACCCTCGAAGGGAGGTGAGAACCAAATGGTTTTGCCCAAATGCGAGGCTTAAACAAATGTCAGAGGGGAAGCAGGGACTGGTTTCTGAGTGTCTTCTGGGCCGAGACCACAGGACGCCTCAGCCGCCCCGCCATGGGCCCGCGAGCGGCTCGTGAGGATCCGGGGCCTGGAGCCCTACTCACCGGCTTGGATGGCCAGGAAGTTGTAGAGTTCGTGCAGCAGCTCCAGCAAGGCCGCCTTCTGCTTGGCCTGACAGAACTGAGAGGACAGGACAAGCGGTCAGCAGGGCGGTGGGCAAGGAGGCAGCCGTGCTGTCAAGTACTGAGCAGTAAGCAACACCTCATACTTTTAAAAACTAAAAACCAATTCTGCAAATGGTGGTCCCAGGGACAGGGCCGATACATGTGGGGCTGAGTGAGTGCAGGGCAGAGTGAAGGCACAGTCACTAAGGGCTGCCATCCTGGAGGCCCCCGCCCTTCCCCGGTGCCGATGGAGTAATGGCCACTAGTGGGGCCGAGGAGCAGAGGCAAGGCGGCTGTGGGAAATGAGCCCTGTAGTCCCGGAAAGCTACCCACGCTGCGTCCTCTCCCCCTGGGGCCACTCCCACCCGTGGTGGAGACTCAAGTGTCTACAATCTGCCCATCGATTGTCTGTCTTGTGGAGTATCTGCTGCAAAAAGTAAAATCCCTAGAAGCCTTTGAAATCATAGGGGAGAAAAGCCACCTGCATGAGAAAATGGGAGCAGGAACACACGCAGACCTAGCTCTCCAGCCCCTGTAACAGTTGAGGCCATCTTGCTAGACTCACGGTTGCTCTCCTCGATGGACCGAGAGCCAGGTGCTGTGCGGGGTGGTTATATGTGAGTGCGCACTGAATTGTCACCACACTCCTTACTGTACCCCAATTTCTCAGATGGGGAGCCTGAGGCTCAGAGACCTTAGGTAAGCCACCAAGGTCCCACAGCTCAAGAGAGGTGGGGTCAGGCCAGCAGTCACCACGCCCCACACTTCAGGCCGCCTCTGGTGTCGCTGGGCAAAGCCCTGGACTTTGAGCCGAGAGCCTGGGGCCTGGCCCCGCACCTACAGAAGGAACTGACGTGGCCTTCCTCCCAGGCTCATCAGCTGCCTCACCCGAATGGGAGGGACCTGGTGTCCAACACTCTCAGAGGCAACATGTGTCCCCTCACGCTGCCTAAAGACCCAAGAGCCTCTGCAGTACACGCGACCACAATGGTCAGAAACAACTCATGTGGCTTCTAGTGAGTTAGGTACCCAAACTACTTTAAAGAGCGTTTTAGGTGTGGGAAATGGTGAGATAAGGGTTAAAGCTAACTAAATATACGCCAAGAATCCAAGTCTATAAACGCACGTAAGAGATAAGACGGGAAGGAAAGATCCCCAAACGTTAACAGTAATTATCTCTAGGTGGCAGAGTCATGGTGACTTTCCTTTTCAAACGTTCTACACTAACATCTTTTACTGTCACTCCAGGAAACAGGCAGTAACAAGGACCACTGCTGCATGTCCCCAACATCCAGGCGAGCAGGCTGATGCCACTGAAAGGAAACAGGACACAAGGTCCCAGCCAGCAGGACAGCGGATATGACAACACGCCTGCTCTCAGCCTGGGCCCATGTTTTCAGTAGCAAAAAGGCAGAAAGAAAATACAGTGTCAAGTCTGCTGAGAAGGGAAAGAAACACAAATGCCCTGCTGGGTCCTGGGTGAGCCGGAGCCACACAAAGAATGAGACTTTCAGCAAGAGCCTCAGCAAAGCCGACGTGCCTCCCAACCTGCCTGTTCCCAGGCAGGCCAAGGGCACCCCATGAACTCTCAGCTCCACGGAGCCCAGGCTGGGGGCCCAGATGCTGGCCTTCCAGGCGCCAATGTTCCCGGCACAGTTGGCTGGCTGGGCACACCTTTAGCAAGGCCCTGGGTTGCACCTGTCTGCTCAGAGGAGGGCCAGGGAACGAAGGGAACGAATCTGTCCCTCAGCCGTAGGCCTGATCCATTTAGAGACGTGAAGGGTCAAGAAACAGAAGGCAGGGAGATGTTTCTAATTGAAAGACAACAAATGAGCATCACCAGAGAAGTCTCACAGAAAGCGCCTGTTTTCCTATTTCGGTTTTCAGTGTTCAAAATTCTAGTCCCTCCTCTAGCTGCCGCCTACATTTCTGGGCTCCTTTCTCTAGTCATCAGTCGTGGTTTTTATGATGGAAGATGAAAAAACTTACTATGAATATGTTTCTACAAAACAACTGGGAAGCAAAGATATTTGGTGGATGAATGCAATAAATGAATGTAAAAAAACCCCCAAAACTTCAAATATGACACAGCAGAAGCCAAGAGAAACCAGGATGCCCTTCAGAACGTGGGTAAGCGTCAGCGCAGGGGCATGGGCGGGGGCAGATGTGAGCGGAGTGGGAGCCCTGCTGCAGCTTAGTTAG